GTAGAAAAAAAAACCTATAATTTCAATTAAAAATGCATTAACATAGCAGCGATCGATGTTGGGTGTTATGTGAATGTGAACGAGTGCCAAAACGATAAAAACAAATAAACAAAACATGATACACATCAAATCTTATTGAAAGAGAGAGAAAATGTAGAAAAGAATGAGAAAAGTCGAGGCAAAAGTCAAGAAAAACGCACAGCAAAAAAAAAATTATCTTGATGAAACGACAACACAACGACAGTGGCATCGGTGTGTGGCACATGACGGTTTTTCTATAATTACATGACGTCGAGTACGATGTTCCGATATATTCGAATACCGACATTTTTGTTGTTACAATTTGTTCACAACTAAGCGAATCCTAGTTAGATGTGTTTCACTTTCTATTCGTCTACTCGAATTAATCACTTTTCACGATACGCGAGGCAACTTTAACGTCATTGACATGACGCGTACATCTCGGTATATAATACCGTAGCAAAGTTCTCATTTGATGCGAACCACAAAATCGTGGTCTTTTCTTATCCCATTTATATTTAATACACTCGCTCGCTCACAGCCTGTGAAAGCAATCGCTTGATGTGTACACGTTTATTGAACCAAAGAAAATCATGTCTATCACCTTGTGAGTCAATATTTCCTTGTGCCACATCATCAACTGTCGAATTTCCTGTGCGACAGCATTCAAAATCTTTTCTCCCTATTTTTTTTTGTTACCTTCTATGAAAAAAAGAAGAAAAAAATCGCATCCGACGACATAAACCGTATTATTGATTTTCTTTTTAATACAAGCTTATACGCATATCGTTGAATGTTCCCACGTCGCCAATGTCGTCTAATGCGCTTTTGAAAGGTCTGATTGAACTCGAACTCACTTACAAATACTATATCCATACAGGCAGGCTTTATAATCAGGCCATTCTTTGATTTTGATTTTACTTTATCGTTGCCATTGTTTGGCAAACACCATTTGTTGGAATCCTTTGCATTTCAACTGTAAAGCAGTTACCGAAATCGTCCCTGTCACCACCCATAAAAATGCCGTAGCATTGCCTACGTTCCATATCCAATCACATGGAGTAAAAAAGGGAATATCAACGATAATCGAGTGTGGTAATGCTATGCTGTATGCAGCATTCCATTATTATCGAAACACATTTGTTGCTATAACGTTCGCATTTGATTTGCATCTTTTTTCGTGTTCGATGCGTATTTTCCATCGATTGAGAAAGGCGAAAAATGCGTCGCGAGGAATGTTGACAAAATCGGCGCGTTGATAAACGCGTAAAACTGTTCAGACGGAGAAAGAGGGGGGCGAGAAAGAGAGAAGGGAAAACTGAAACTATCGAAACGGAAAGCGAAAATTGCCGATAAAAGGTGTTTTGAATTCTATCCCAATTTTTTTTTTCAATCTAATATCAAACTGTTTGGGAACTGTGGCAGGCAATTCCCTTTAACACGCCAACATAGTCTCTTGACGCAAACGCACCTGTATTCTGTCAGATTGAAGGATTCCAATTTTAAATTCGTCCGTTATCTCGCTTGAATATATTCAACAAACAGACAACCAAAATACGCATAAACATGTTGCTGGATGCTTTCGTTTTTACTCTTCTCTTCGTTCGTTTCATATTCGCAGTACAGCTGAGCTGGAAAAAATTATTATTTTTTTAACTATTTATTTGTGTGAATGGTGTATACTAAATGATGACGATTTTCCCATGTAATACCACATGCTGGAGTTAGACACGGAGGCAAGAAAAAGAGCCAAGATAGTAACTTGAATGAAATATGAAAACGTTTGCTTTTGTCATTGGTTCTGCTTCGCATATATTATTATTATATGATTGTGTGATGCCTACCCGATATATATTCGATACTGCTGAAAATTCAAATGCGGTAATTCTATTTCGAGAGAGAGAGAAACATTGAGATGCGGAAAGAACCAACGACAAACCAAATAGGCATAGGCATTCGCATAAGGCATATATAGCTTCGCTCAACATGAAACCATATTGATGATTCTCTATATTTTCACAGCTAAATGTGAATATTATGTGTATTTGTCTGACGGAATGGTTTTTGTATGTGTACGAATCGAATGTTAACACTTTTCACATAGCACACACACACACATAGCACTCGTTCACTGTGTTTCAAGTCGTATTTGCTTTCGCTTGTTATTGCTTTGTCAAATCTAGCCGACATAATTTCATTTGCCATATGAAAATCAAATAGAAAATTGAATCGATTGTAATGGTTATTTTATGTGGTTGTTAATTTACTTTCAAATTCGTTTGTGGTTCGTTTCATTTTGATGATATTGATCGTTTTGTGGGGACAATTCATTGTTTGCCAAAAGATTTGCCATTTTAACCAGCCTTTTATGTACGATAAAAGGAATATAGGCCATGGAGAGAATAATAATATTTACATATTGATCTTGAACTATCTCGTTATTTCATCCAACTTTCGTTGATTTATTTGGTTCAGCAGCAATGTGTCACATTTTAGTATAGATGTCATTTGTTGCTCATCACGAAAACACTTGCAATTTTCATATTTTGTCAACGCAGAAAATCAATGATAGTTACCATTTCTGGTGACTGCCACATGCAACAAACAGAATAGTCAAATTTAAGTGGTGTATGTCTCGATTTGACGACGAAAAATCGAGCCTTTTATTAACTTACGTCTCGTTCGATAATTGGCTCAGACAAAATGCTTGAGTGAAAATGCGATTTTATTTCGTCTGCGTCAGAGTTTTATCTCTCTGCGAGTAATTTGTATCGATGTGATAAAAAAAGGTATATCATTCCTTAACAAACCAAACCTCTAGAGATGGTTTTGCATTTAAATGATACTTTTCCCATTACGATGCGAGTTTTCACTGATTGAAAATGGTACATCTTACAAGCACACTTTCATCCCATTTATCAGATCCGATATAAAACGTTTTCGCGGAAAATTTAACACTTCTAATACCAAATTTGCTTTCTGTCAGCATAAAATGCTTTTTACGAGTTTTAATTCGTTGAAAAGTGTGAAGAATATGCCTTCAGCTTATGACACGAATGAATTTCTAATTTAATACGTTCAAAGGCGCAAATAAATTCCGAACATCAATTGATTTTTTTTTTGTTTTAAACAAGATTTGTGCCACCTGATCAACTATTCAAAAAGGCGATATTCAATGTTCGTTCGATAACCCATAAAATCAGTTATAGTGCGAAGTAAAAGCCTTTATTGAAGCGAGGCAATGTTTTGGTTGAAAAATAAACTCAAGTTGGAGAAAGAGAAGGGGAATTGAGTATCGGGTTTACAATGTAAAATTGTACAATGTTCTCTCATGCACGGCTTCTCTCTCATTGATTCGCTCTCTTCGGTAGCTGCTTCGATCAGCTGGTTCGGCATGTGTTTGTACTGGCATTAACAAGTGCGACGAATTTTGTGGGTAAATGCATTCGGAAGCATAACTTGAATCGTGTTCAAACGGCACTAGACACTCCGTACAACAAATTCACGGTTGTTTCTGTTGAATTGTTCGGTTCCCCTCCAAACACAAGCATGCCAAAGCGCTCTCGCGGCCAACGCACTCGTGCTCACTTCAATATTTTGAACGTTTTCACATGTTTATATCACATTCTCGCACGTTTCGTGGTCGTTCTAATGCTTGCTACAACAGTTCTACAGAATAATTTGATTACTATACACTCGCTTTGAACGTTTACTTTATCCCCCCATTCGGATAGCATGCGATTCAAATGAATGAAACATCGTGCAAAAGACATGAGCAAAAGAGTAGCTGGGGAACTGGTTTTTTCTGGCGGAGAATTGCTATATCCACACACGATGAGTAGTTGCGCGCGCTCTCTCAACCTAAACCTCGCTCATTCACTCCGATGTTTTGGCGATACACGATTCAGTATTACGGAACGGCAAACGTTTTCATATATTGTGTTGATAGCTCGTGAAAAAGTTTAGTCCATCACAGACATTGGTTTGAGCAATTTGTGTGCACAAATACGTCGTTTCATTTCCACTCTCTCTCTTTTAATAGATCTATCGCTGAAAGGCAAAGCGTACAGCACTGGCTGTTTGAAAATATATACACGTGAATGATAATATTTAAACAGATAAAAAAAAACATTACTGTATTTGAGCTATTCTTAAACGCACAAGTGTAATTCTCTGGATGTGAGCATCTCAAACAAATAACGATTCCTTTTGTGTTTCAAGTGCTGGGAATCAACACTTTTATTTTTCATATGATTTTATGTGCGACGCTTGAGGAAAACCAGAAATTTAGTTCGTTTTTTTGGGATTTTTATGTTATTGTGTATGAATCAGTATTTTTCTTAAAACCTGAATCTTAACGGTTGAATTAGTGAAAAGTTGGCAATCAAGAAAATTATATAACCGGCTGAAAAATAAATAATAAACAATTGTAGTCGAGAAGTAGTATTTTCAATAGAAAAGTAAACAAATCAAGTGGACTTGAAATATTTTCTGGAGCAACTGATGAAAATTTGAAAATTTATCGTCTTCAAACGGAAACATACCAGCTGAGTTCTACAATTCACGCTTCGAAATTTATTTGAAAAAGATTTTCAAAAAAGTTTTTTCTTTTGTGCGAGAGCGTGAAGGAATAGTGATGCGAATACATGAAGCGCGTGATATTCTTTCCTTGTTAACATTTTAAACGGCCGAACAATAGTGTGTGGGTTGTAATTCCAAGTTGAAAAGAAAATTTGTGTTAAACTAAAAACGCGTATAAATACTTTGTCGCGTGATTTTCATTCGTTTGTACGAATTTGTCGCATGATTTATTTATTTTCGCATTGCCAAGTGTTTGACGAATTTCGACTTTTTTCATAGATTTTGAGCAAAAAAAGAAAAGAACTTGAAAAAAAAATTGTATTAAAAGACAGTTTTGAATTTTCTCAAAATAGTGACTATTGTGAAGCATTTTTTTATGCATAGAATGCCAATTCAATTAAAAAGAATCTTGAAGAATTTTTGAGAGAGAAATTTTTTTTCTAACTTTGTGAATAAAAATCAAAGCGAACCAAACGAACAAAAGAAAAATAAAGTGACGAACATTTTCCGAAGTGGTTAGAAGTTTGAGATTTTCTTTAAAGTCACCCAAACCAAGTTCTGAATAACAATTTTCTTATTCGAAACATTGTAACACACGCACATCTTCAATACAACACAGCTTCAATTTATTGTGCCGTCGTTATTTCATTGGGGTAAGCATTCACAAAACCAGAACTTATTTATTTTCCAACATGACCATTCTACCCGAAATATCTTCATACTGAATGTGTGTTACAAAAAAAATGTCATATTGCATTGTTTTTTCGTCGAAATTTTACTGAAGTAAAGGAATTTTGTTTCCTTTGAATAAACAACATATCTTCTGATATTGAAATTGATTGCAATAAATTTATTTATATTTTTGCACTATAGTTTCGTTATATATTAAATTTTCGTATTATTATTTTTTTGCCTCAAAGTGGAATCGAATTGATTGTATTTGTGCCATAAATTACGAATCTCTTTTTCATTCTGCCGACGGTTATGTTAAACGCAACCGCGTGCAAAATATTTTTGTTTATTTTCCAATCAACGCGGCTGAAAAGTGTCTTAATGTGTCGTGTGATCGGGAATTTATTGCGGTAATAGCAAGCTGGTGTTTTGTTAGATTAGACAATGAATTATGATTTGGTGCGGCGCGGCCCATCGAACACAAAACTTCCGATTGAGCGTTTGAACTAAAAAAAGACCATTGTTGTTGCATTATGGTTGCAACTATTCTCACTTCTTCTTTATCGCTAATCGTAATTTATTGTTGTGTATATGTGTGTTTTTCTGCCGTGTGTACGCGTGTATCCACTGTTTTGGATTTGTTTTTTGTTCGTCGTCTCAGCGTGCCAAACGGTGTCGAATATCGGATTTGAGAGTCAAATTTTATAGTGTTCGAAATTCGTGTGGTGTTCAATACTGCGGTTTTAGGGGATGTTTATCGCCTTTGAGCTTGTACTCAAACAAAAATATTTGTTCGTCGACCGCACATACCTTAAAAAAAATATGTAAAAAAATGCTCCGCAAATATTCAACGTATTCACACATTTTTCGATAAATTGTGCACTGCACATAGAACTATTTGACTTTTCTATAGATATTTTTCCAGCCCTCAACCACGAAACAAAAAAAGCAACAACTTTTATGGGGTATTTCATTTGTTCCTTTTAAGCCACGGAATTTTTTTTGCATCGAACACAATAGACACTATAACAAAAAAAAGGTTTCCAACGGACTATTCCCCAATGAATTTATGGACAGTTCAATTGATACACTATTTGCTCGTTGCTACACGAGCCTCACGTAGAAATGCGAGGAAAAAAAACGAAGAAAAAAATGAGTTTCGAAAAAAATAACACAACATACAACCTGAAACAATTTAGCATATAATCGATTGCTTGTATGTACGTTGAACAAGCTGTATATGTTTTTTTTTTCTCTTTTTACTGTTTATTGAAATGTCTGTCAGCACAAGAACATCAAATTATTTTAAAAAAAATGTGTTCCTTTTTTATACTTTGTTATACTTCAAAACTGTATTTATACTGATGACTTTCAATGACGATTTCTCCAATGTTCCAATAATAATAAGTTACACAACGATGAAAATGATTAGATCGCTGTAAGTTGTCAGTTCAGACATGACGGAATGAAAATACAAAAAAAAAGTTCCATTGTCATCATTTAATAAATATTTGCTTCGTTTTCTTATTGATGAGATAAGCGGAAATTTATCGTAAATAATGATACAGTGTTTCGCATTAGCGAACCTCTCAATCTACGTAAACACAAGAACATACATAAAAACTGATGCGCTTGCGAATGAAAAAAAGCGAAGAGAATTCAACCGAAAGAAAGAAAAAAATAGGCAAAATGCCATAGCTAGTCTAGAAATGTATGTGGCAAGATGTTCATTTACGCTCTTCTCATTCAGACGAAGATTCACGGCCAATAGAAGGCTACTGTTGAAGAAAAATAGTAAAAGAAAGCGAAAAAAAAGTTTTTTTTTTGGTTCAACGTTTTATAAATTTGATTCAGCTCACGTTTGCTTCGACGATCATTTGTTGTATTCGCCGCATCGTGTGTGCTACCGTGTCGATAAATCAAGATAATTTGCTGGAAAGTATCGGGCAAACACATCAAATCTGGCTTATAACACCGAAAACATAGAAAACGAAATGTAAAAATGCAGTTATTTTGCACAATAAACGCACCGAAAAAAACGTAAAAACATCGAAGCAAATGGATCTACATCGACTAAAATGTCTGTAAAGCTTTTTATTTGTACTTCCCATACAATTTTCCAACGCATTTTCTTTTTCATTTGATTGTAGTCGCGTTTTCCGTGTTAACTTAATGGTTTCGTGGGTGATGCCACCGCGCAATAAAAAATGAAAAAAAAAGAGCGAATAAAATTAAAAGCAAACGCAAAAAATATGTACGCATTAACAAGGTACGACAAAACAGGCTAAACATTTAGCATGCGAACAAGAACAAATCCAAAAGGAGAATGAGAAAAAAAAAATAAAGTGAATGAAGAAAGTGGAAGAATGTAATGCGATTTGCACGCAGCCACACTAATCACACGTGTCTTAAGATATGCTCAGATAATTTACGCAAATAACAGTGAGAAAAATAGAACACACACCTTATAGAAATGACGGTGAAAACGAAAACTAACATCAAATCCGTAAGACAGAGCAATAATAAAAAAAGAACAAATCACTACAAAAATGTGGGCTTGATGGGAAAATTTTAACACGTTTTACTCAAATGGTTAATATTAAATTCGTGTGATATACGCATTATGGCGTAGGCAATACTATTCTTATTGTAGCCAATTTGCTACCGTTCAGTAGCACATATTTTTTTTTTCGACATGGTGCTAATCTACGACTGATATTTCTTGCGTCCATTTAAGATGCCATAAAATGATTTTATGAAACATTTCGCATTATTTGCGCCTCTGTACACGGTTTTGATCTCCAAATGGCCATACATTTGTACCTAAATAAAGTTCCGATTCCCCATCGGAGACTTTTTCGAGCAAAAGAACAGGATGAAATGAATCACGAACGAACCATTTCGAATGATTCTTTGAAACAAAAATTTTAAGACTAGAAAGATAAACGAACGATGACAAAGAAGAAACGAAAAATCTACACATTATTTATACAGAGCGTCTCACCAATTATAAACAGTGTAGAACCGAACTTGTGTTTACCAATTTTAATTCATTTAGAGAGAGTTCGCGATTTTACTCTTGCTCTCATCAATGTGGTTTCACTCTCACCCCCATGTTTTCCAATTATTTCGTGTAATTTGAAAAACTTTTTCGATTTTTTTTGTACATTTTTAATGAAAATAGTCGATCAAAATACCAATTGAAAATTGGAAAAGTTGCGACGGCTAATGCAAAAAAAGAAAAAGAGTGAAAAAATACCTGTGAAAATTAACAAAAATCGTCAAGAACGTTGAAGTATTTCGATGATGAACTGCGGAATAATTGGTGTACCTGGCCGTGCCAATTGACCCGTAAAAACAAATGACATAAAAGATCCGTGCAACGAGTCGAGAAAATGTGTCTACGTAAAAATCATTTGTTTCTTGTTGTATTACAGTATTTCTGCGAAGATGTCCTCCAGTGCAATGCACACATACAAATCAACAAAAAAAAGAGAATAAAACGTATTTTTTCGTGATTTTCGTACCTTTTGTGTCTGTGCATGAAGCATTTGAATCATCTATTTCAAAATTGGTTTTTCAGTAGCAAAATACGCATAAATCATTACCTTTTCGCCTTTTACGCTTCAGTTCACCACCGACTCAATATGTTCATGTGAAACGATCGACACAAGAAAAAAACAGACTGAATAAACGAAATGTGTTCCTTGAATTCATCGTGATTTTACCTTTATGAACCAAAACTACTCAATTACCACGCGATTTGTATGTATTGTATATGCCTGGTTTCCAACATGGACACTCCATCGCCTGATGGAGGAATAAACAAGCGTAATTTTTTTATATGTTTCATTATTCTTTTTGTTTATCCATCGATCTCGCTGAATTGAATACCTGAATACGCTTCTTTAATAAGGATTTAATTTGCCAAACACCATCTTCTTTTTCGACTTATTGTTGTTCCGTTGTACATTTTTTTCGTTGTTGGCATGAAGTGAAATTCCGTTTTCTGCTGACCACCTCTCCCTTGGGTGTTGGTTAAGGTTTCAGTGTGTGCACGATGTTCTTTAATTTCATTATTTTCATGAAGATAAATCGCTTTCAATTTTTCATACTTTTTCACTTGCGCGCACCAGTGCAACACAAATTAACAAAATCAAATGGTGAAGTAAAGTGTACTGGCTGTGAAGGCGTCGAGCACACCAAGTAATGAGAAGAAGAAAATGTGTATATCTCAATTGAAACTGAGCGCAAATACGATTACCATCGACTGACAATAGCAAAAAAAAAAAGATATGTCGGTTATGGTGATGATTTTAGTTTGATGCATGTGAACATACTTTGGCCTCATACAGCATCATATCGAATAAGACGTAGTTTATTCAAGCTTCTTCGTTTTTCCTTCGTTTTTCCTTCGTTTAATTTTCGATTTTTCATCTTGTCTGCCATTCGTGTGTTGTGTTATGGTATTGCCGGAATAAGGTTCACATGATGCCCTACTTAAACGTCATTTCTAATGACTCGTTTTCGAGTCATATTGCCTTTGGCATGTAGTCCCACTGTTCTCACGTACAGCTCAATCTTGCCATACACACACACACTCACATTTATGTATATAACAACGCATTAGTTGCTCCATACAATAACTTCCTAAGCTCTCTCGCTTTTACTCTCATTCGGTTCGTCTTCCGTGTGCTCTGCATTTGCTCAGGTGGATCGTATGGTATTGCTTGTATACTGTGCACGACTGTATATGCCGCTCACACAATTCTTTAGTCCGTATAATTTTTCACTAAATCATATCGGATTAGACATTAGAATATTGCGGATACTTTTTTCTATGTTCACCATTTTTATTAAACTTCTTTGTAAAGAGTGTGATATAAATCATGTGCGAAAACAAGAACAAAGTGATTTTTATCACGTTGTTTGATTATCACCATTTATACATCTTGACGAAATTTTGTATTATAATTTTGCT